GACTTTGGAGAGGAAAAACTCTGTTCGGAGAGCGGTAAAGATATTTATATATATATATATGTCCCTGTTCGAAATGTTGCTGTTGTAGTAATTGGGTCGGATCGCTTCGTTCGTCCGCGTGTCTATTAGTGTTTCGAAAAGTAACAAAAAGCTAGAACGAAATTAGAATTAAATTAACTAAATAGCAAACATTGTTACTACTAGTAAGGCACTTGTTACTAGAAGCGATGCACTTGTTACTAGTCGCGATGCCCTGAGGTGTATGTTTGCAGACGTGGCTCTGAATGTCTCATTGAGCTGAGAGGATGGCGCTTGGGGCCGAAGCATGCGCTGCACTAGAGGACGAACCCTAGATAGGAAGGAATCCTCAAGCCAATGGATTGATAGCGGGCTCCAACCTGGAAGCGATGGCCTCCAACCTAGCAAAAGGAACCGAACAGCGATGGCCTCCTTGTGTCGCTCACAAACTGAGTTCCTCCACTTAGGAACGATCGCCTAAAGATTGTGGCGGAAGGTAGCAATTGTGCACTCGACTCACCCACCTTTGGCTTTGGTGTCATGATTGCAATGGAGTCGTGAGGGTCGTCGACGAAGTTGAAGTTTCTTTGGACGGTGGTTTTTCATGAAGACATTGGCATTCTGTCAAGGTGACATTGGCATTCTGTGTTGCCTAAGGCACCAATCCTGCTTGGGTCTTGAATGAGGCCAGCTGGTTTGCACCCAAACAGAGCGCATGAATACAGATTTCGGACTCTAATTGTAGCATTTGCGCTGGTTGCCTAGCACCTCCTCCTTGGCGCCTTTTCGACTTCGCTTGGCAGGTGACATACTTCTTTGACGACACCAACACCAGTTCCTACAACATCTTTAACGTCGGTGTGGCTAAGGTGTCGATGATTCGACCACGACTTTTTTAAGGGGGCCGCTAGAGGGAGGTAGGGTAGCTAGGGCAGCTAGGTAGAAGTTAGGTAGCTAGTAGCTACTTAAGCTACTACATATGGACGTGGGATAGCGCACGCTCGCACTAATGATTTGGTTCCTAGCTTTTTTGGGGAAACTTAAGTTATGTTGTGTCAATTTGTCCAAATGTACTTGAGACAGCTGGTGTCTCTGACTGTCAGGTTGGAACTCAAGAGGAAGGCTGCTTGCCTGACGATGTGAACTGTGGATATCGACTTTGCTACTGTCCCGGAATCAATAATTGCTACTTGGATGCACCAGTGTCACAAGAGTAATGCTGAGCAAAGATCTCACAGCGAGGTGGACTTGGGACGAAACAGACCGACCAAGAATGAATATAAACAACCAAGTGCCTCCAACCGGATAGCCATGGCCTCCAGCCCAAGAGCGACCTCCAACCTGCAATGGAGAACGACCAAGTTGGCGGACTCCGGAAAGATTGAATTTAATTCTATATTAATTCTAATCGCTTCTTGTTTCTACTAGTAAGGCACTTGTTACTACTAGCGTGGCACTTGTTTCTACTAGCGAACCTTGTTACTACTAGTAAGGCACTT